GGAGAGGAGAGGAGAGGAGAGGAGAGGAGAGAGAAAAGGTGTTAGAAAGGTGGGGCATCAAATATGTGGCCCCTATAACTGGAGTGAAACTTCAGCCACAGCCTCTCCCAAGATTTATCCTTCTTCCCCTGAAAGCCTAGGTAGGGGCCAAGTCTTCTGGCTCAGATTCCCCAGCATTTGAGCTGTTCCTGTGGGGGAATGAGGGGATAAGGAAGTCACAGAGACCTGAGATGCCACAACCTGCTGCACTCCTTCCTCCCAGGATCCTGGCTACAAGACCTGACACTGCCATCCACCCTCTCCAGCCCCAATCTCATCTTCGAGGAAAAGCACAGTCTCCTCAAGGCCTTAGGGATCTTCTGGCCACATGGGGTTGCCTCTGTTGGAGAGCTCAGGGAAAGTTAAGTAGTACCCAGGAAAGGAAGGCAGAAGTAGAGAGAGCTCCTGGGGTTCCAGTTGCCAAGCCTCTTGCATCCCTAGGCTCACACCAGTCAACCTCTGCCTAACTGGGCCCAGATGCCTCAGACTACACAAATGAAACAGAGGAAAAGGAATGAACACAAAGGTGATTCAAGGCTTGGGCAGGTGACTAGACAATGACAGAAGAGTGAAGAAGATGGGGGGGGGGATAACTCATTTCTTGGAAGAGGACTTAAAGCAGATCCGGGTGATTTCGAAGAGCTAAGATGTGAGTTGAGTTTTCCAGTGAAAGCCCCAAGTAGAAAAGCACAGAAGTGCATGAAGGTGGCTGAGCTGAGGTGCTGGGGTAGCAGGGATAGGGGCCAGGTCCTGGAGGAATGGATGGCAGATGGAGGGCTTTAGACTGTGTCTGAGTGGATGAGAACCACAGAGTTCTCCTCTTGCAGCAGGGGTTCAGGAAGAGTCTCTGAGGGCAGTATGGGCTGGAGGCTGGAAGGTAGCAAAGGGGAGCACAGCCAGGGTCTGGGTGGAGGTGAGAAACACTGAACAGCTTGTAGAAGGCAGCATAGGTTCCTTCTCTGACTGGCCTCTTCCAGTGATGGGAAACTCACCTCCTCAGTTCTTTCCTTGGGGCAGCTGTGGGTGGGAGAAGACTCCTCCCTACAAGTGGCTCCAGCCGGGTGGTGAGGTATGGGTACCGGGAATGGGAAGACATATTCACTGCACTGTGGGTGCCCAGAAGGACGGGCACTGGGGACCACAGAGTGTAAGCTGAGTGTCTGAGTGAAAAGACTCTCTGACCTCTTGATGTCCACCTGGGCAGGGCCAGGGTTGGAGCCCCGAAGCACTCTGGCCAGATTAAATACCCACCTGGGTCCCCTGGGAATTTGTGGCCAGACACACTGAAGGCACCTGACCTCAGGAAAACCACAGAACAAACAGAAAGATTCTGCACAATTGGCACTTTTAGGCATACATTTTATTATTTTTTTACAAAAAGCAAAAGAATACGTTGTCGAGTGGACTATTAAAGGGGTGAAGACCCTTTTATTAAAGTAGTCTCCCAAACCCCCATCCCTAAGACTGTAACATCTGAATAAAACAACATAAAAGCATAAAAGCAAACATGAAACTTATGACCTGGACTTCACCACCTCCCCCATAACAGAAACATGTTACACAGTTTCTACTCAAGGATTCTAGAGCTCCAAATGGGAGCAGGGGCCCCTCCTCCCCAAAACCTAAAGAAGACCCACTTAGAAAGAAGAGCACACACACACACACATACTCAGAAACACACACACACACCAGGGCCCTCCCTATGGAGCCCCTAACTATACACACCTTGGTACTTCCCTCACTCAGAGGGACGTAGTACCTCTCCTTTCTCTTTGGCTCTCTGCATCATTAGGATCTTTTAGGAAAGCTTAGGCTCTTGCCCTGAATATCTGGGAAACACCACACATACACACACACACACACACACACACACACACACGCCTGCCTGCTGCTCATTTTCTTTCTCTGTACAATTGGGCAAGTCCCATGGAATCTCGGAGGAGGCAGACCAGCTGGGGTAGATATGGAGGGGCTTCTAAGTAGTGGTCCCTGCACAGTCATTAATGTTCAAGGGAAGGGACAGGACAGGCATGGCCACTGCCAGATCAGATCTGCTCCTTGTGCTTCACATGGGCCAGCTTCACATTCTCCTGTTCAGTGGAGGGTGGGGGCTGCTCCAGGTGGCAGCCAATCATGACTTGGTACACAAAGACACCCGCAATGGAACCCAGGAGTGGAGAGACGATGGGCACCCACCACCAGTGCCGGCCGGTCCTGGAGGGCAGACAAGTGTGGTCAGGAGAGGGTGGGGCAGAGCAGAGAGAGTGGCTGGGGCCAGTGGGGGGGGGGGAGGCACTGTACTTACGTGAAAACTTCTGAGCCCCAGCCAGCAATAGCTGTGAAAAGGCGGGGCCCAAAGTCGCGGGCAGGGTTGACGGCATAGCCAGAATTGAAGCCCATGGAGGTGCCAATGACTAGGACCACAAGGCCCACAGTGAAGGCCTCCAGGCCGCGGGGAACAGGATTGTTGTAGGGATCGACAATGGCCAGCACACACACAATGAGGGAGGCTGTGCCTATGAACTGGGGAGTTGGGAGAACAGAGTGAGGGGCAGCTCTCTCGTGCACTCTTATTCCTCCATCTATTCTCTACAGTTCCTAGAATCCTGCTGCTTAAAACAGTGGTGTGAGAATGTTTGGAGTGCAGGAATTTACAAGGAGCTGCATGTTTTATGAGGACCAGCCACCATGCTCCTTTGAAGTGGTGCCCACAATTCAAAAAATCTTGCTGTAATCAAGGAGTCCTGGCAACTAGCCAGCCCAGGAGCAGCCCAGGGAGTTTGATCCTCCTCAATGCATTCCCCTCACACATCCCCAGGCCATACCTGGTCGAAGAAGCCATTGACCATATCCAAGTGTCCAGAGGGGTAGGTAGCAAAGATACCAGCTGTGCCGTTGGGGCCTGAGACTACAAGCTCATTGTTGGCGAAGCTCCAGATTGCATCTAGTGGTGGATTAGACCCAGAGTGGGTGAAGGCAGAGACCTGAACCCAGCCTCCCCCCATATGCTGGTCCTCCCCACCCTCTCACAGATCACAAGTGAACAGAATCACTGCTGTATTACTTGGGAGGCACAGTGGGCAGGTTGGGTGGAGTGGGCTGGGTGGGGTGAAGAGCCTGAGACTGTTGTTGCTCAATTCTTTGCTTTCCCCTTGTGCCCACTACTTTGGGCCTATGAGTGAGAGTGTGAGTCATGAGCCTAGGGCCTGGGAAGGCCCCAGTTGTCTGTCATCGAAAAGCCTGGTGCCAACATCCAAAGCAAAGGATGGTGGTGGGGGAAGGCAGAGTGGGAAATCTTACCGTAGTACAGCCCAAAAATGATCCCGGCACCCAAGAAGGCTCCCAGGGTCTGAGCCAGGGTATAGATGGGCAGTTTGATCCAGGGCTCTCGTGCCAAGAAGCACATTGCAAAGGTCACAGCAGGGTTCAGGTGGGCCCCTGGGTAGACAGGAAGTAAAACCTATTAGCTATAGTCAACTGCAGGGGGGATACCAGAACCCTCCTCTCTGGTCCTAAAAAAATGGGTTGCAAAGGCTCATTGTACAAGAGGTTGGTTGGACTATGTAACAAGCAGACTCATAGTCTTGTGATTCCAAGGTAAGAGTTAAAGATTCTAGCTGCCAGTTTTCTTCTCTACCCTCTTCTCCCAAAGTGAGGTCACTGCCATGACCTACTGCTGGAAATGTCACTACTCAGTGGAATACCTACTGGGAATGGTGCTGAGGGGCAAAGACTGTATGGGTGGGGCTGGTGAGATGGCTCAGTGGTCTAAAGCAACTACTTAGAACAAGCTTAGCAAAGCACAGGGACC